TAACTGCAGGGGGGGGGGCCAAAAATTTCTCCAGACTTTAGGTTTTTTGAATACAGAAAAGTTTGGTTGAGGTTATTTGTAAAAGGGGGTAAAATTAAAGCCAAGGTTATATTTTTTCCCCCCTATTTTTTTTTTTAGGCAATTTTAAACCCATAAAACCAATTTTTTGTGTTTTTTGTTAAATTTTCTTCTATTGTTTTATTTGTTTCTTAGAGACATTTTTTGAATTCATGAAATTAAAATTTTATTAATACTTTTTTAAACTGTTTTTTTGTGTGTGTGTATATATTATTATATTTATTTTTAATACGGGATTTATATCACCCCAACATTTTGCACAGCGTTTTTACAAAATGAAGGTAGCTTTTACAGTTACAATAAAAATTTGGTAAAAAAGAAACAGGGGCCCCTGCCTTAGAGTTACAATTGGAATATTTTTATTTTTTATTTTTTTAGGCAGCGGCAAAGTAGACCCTGGGGATGAGTCATCCTAGGAGTGAAAAAATTTGGGAGGTAATCTCAGGACGGGCTGGGGGAGATTCTGAGGGTCCGGCTTCGGGAACCCTCCATTTTCGAAACCTGAGGTTTTTGGGAGAGGGAAAAAAGAGGTTTGGAGGGGAATTCCTGGAGGGGGCGGGAGGGGCCCCAATAACCAAGTTGAAAGGGTTTCTCCGTGAGGGAAGGGAGGGGGATTTGGACCCGGGAAGGGGGCCCAGGGAAATGGGGCCACCACAGGCATTGGAGAAGGATCTCCACTGTCCCAGAAGGGGAGTAGAGGGGGGGAGCCCCCGAGGAAAGGGAAGGAGAAAATTTAAGCATTGGAAGGCAGTGGAATTTAATTAGATAAAGGGGGGGCAATCAGGTGGAAAACCCAACTAGCTTTTCACCCCGTGGTGTATTTTGAATTGGCAGATTTTGGCCCCCCCTTGCTGGGGAATACCCTCAGTACGTGGGTGAGAGGAGGATTCATCGGGGGTCTGGGGAGGTACACCAAAAAAGAGAGAAACAATATTTTTTTGTCCACTCTGATATAGTTGCTAAGGTTCCCTTGGGCATCCCCCTACACACCTCAACCCCCTCCCAAATTTTATCCCCCTTTTAAAATCACAAAATCAAGTCAAGAATTTTATACTGACCTGAGTACAAAGTGTGGAAAAAAATGTGTGTTGCCTGGTGCGCGAGCTTTGGGGGGGCCCAAAATTCAGCAACCCTTGGGGTAGTGGGTTATACTGGATTATTAATATATATTTAATATTTTAATTGTATTCTTTTTAAACTCCTTCCCCTTGATTTTTGGTAGTCCTTTAGGTATTTAAGCTGGAAGGGAGATGAGGTTCCCCCAAACACATGATCGCGTGATTGGCCTTCCATGGGCAGGTCAGGAGCCCATCCTGCTGGTACTGATCACAAACAAAGACCCAGAGCTGTCATGGGAGCTTGGTCGTGTCTGGTGTGCCCTCGCAGCACACAACCTCAGACCCCCATGGATGCATCGTGCGGGGGGTTGGGCATTAAGACCACGGGGGTCAGGGCTCAGGTAGACCAGAGGTGGGGGACCACACGGAAACACAGACTTCAGGTATAGCGTGTAAACAAATTTTTAAAAGGGAAAAAAAAATAAAGCGTTCAAACGACCAAAATCAAAACTTAATAAACATGTACAACCGGGGAATAAAAACCTTAAACAATAGGTACCCGTGCAGTCAAGGCTGGAAGGTGGGGCGGTCAGGAGGCCAAGCCCACAGCCCGGGTTTCCTCGGGGGCTCGGGGTCCCAAAGTCCCGGCCTTCATTTACCCGGGCCTGAGGTGGGGATGACTTGGTGCAGACGGAACCAGGTCGGCCCTGGTGCGCCGGTGTGGTAGAGGTACTGGCGGGGAGTGAGGAAAGAGGTCTGATGGGAAAAAAGGCAGGGAGCTTTCTAAAGGTGATCCGGCGGGATGGTGGTCGTCGGATGAAGTAACGTAGTCAGACAGGCCGGGGCGGTATCGGGGGGCGCGTGGTACAGGAGGAGCAAGCAGAGAAGGTCGGGTCCAAGCCCAATCAGCGGGAGCGGGGAGCCGGGGGACCCAAAAGGATCAGGCAGAGGGTGGCAGGCAAGCCAGGGGTTCAACAGGAGACGGGTTTTGCAGAGGTCGGGTCAAAACAGGGGCGAAAGAGGCAGGGGAAAACGGATACCCGGGGACAGGGGTCATGAGAAAATAACCAAACCCTGATCACAGGCCTGGTCATTCCTTTAAAAACACCTCCTGCAATCAGCCCCAGGTGTTGGCTGAATCAGAAAGGGGTTTTTGGCGTGAGAGCACCCCCTGGTCAGCCCTGGTACTGAGCCCACACGGCAGGTGAGCCCCCCCCCCCAGTGCTGAGTCCCTCCTGGCACTGGCCCTGCCCCGTATATAGTTTATGGGGCAGAAAAAAATTAAAAATGAATTTTTTTCCCTTTCCAAAAACACCAGTTAGGTACCTTTACCATCTACTTCTCGTACTTTCAATTGGACTTCTCCCTTTCCCAAAAAGTTTGGACTAACGACAAACAGCAATGGCAAAAAAATGTATACTTTTTATCAAAAACCATGGGTCACCCTGATCTCCATCCCAAAACCCCTTCCTTGAAGCTAATGTGTGTACAGAGCTGTGTCCAGGGGAGGAAGGAAACATTTGGTAAATGGCAAACACAACCAAGTGGTCTTTTATGGGGGGGAGATTTTGTGGAACAAAAAAAAATGTATGAACAAAGTGTGCAATAATCCTACATGATAGGGTATGGTGAAAGCTGTGTGTTCCAGTGGACTTTTCTTTATTTGCACATCTTTCCCCATCTTCCACCCCTCACTTCCTTTGCTGCTCCCATTTGGGCACATGAATTCGAGCCCCAAAGAAGTTGGGGCTGGGAAAACTTCCTCTGTAGGTGCTTTTAAGCACTCGAAAATGGAGCATATTTAGCAAGTTTCCAAAGGAAAAGGAAACATAACAGTCTGATGTTGCATCTGTCCACCGCCCCCCTTAAGACTGAGAATTGGCGATCAAATACCGCTGAAAACCCCAGTCTTGCTCATTCTGGCATTGCCGCAAACTTTAAGCCCTCCCCCCTGTCCCTCCACCCCAGCACCCCCTTATCCCCCCTCCCCTCGACTCCGCAGGGTTGGGGTGCCAAATCTCTCCAACCCCTTACCCTACTTCAGCTACCCCTTTTTACCCCTCCCCAGGCCCCAAAAACCATGCTTTTGACCTATTTTCCCCCCCTACTTTTTTATACGAAAAAGTCCCCAAACCACTCCCCATTTATTACACCATCAGGGAATTCCAAGACCCTCTTGATGCCCGCCCCACCCACCCTTTCCCCTGAACCCTTTCCCCTCCAATCCCACGCCTTCCCCCCCACCTACCTCCCTCCCCCACCCCTTCAATCCCCCTTCCTAGGCACTTTCCCCCCCCTTGAAAAAATTGCCCACATCCCCCCTATTTTAAAGCCCTCCTGGGCCCCCCTGACCCGAAACCCCAAAACCCTCTCCCTGCTCCCATTTCTAAAAATCCTGGCGCCTAGTCTTCCCCGCCTATGCTCTACCTTTCAACGACAACAACCCCCTGATCCCCTTTCAGTCCCGGTTCCGTCCCCTACATCCACCGAACGGGTTTCAAAAATTCCCCGCCCCGTAAAAGCCCAAAACAATGGAATTTTTTCAGTATTCTCTCTTTAATTTCGGCCTTGACACAGTCGAACCCCCTCCTCCTCAAAAAAAAAACTACACTCCCTTTGGCCTCGAGATTCTTCTTCCCCGGATTCTTCCTGTCACAAGCTCTTTTCAGGTTTTATAATGCTACCCCTCCCCCTCCATCCCCTTCTGTTGGGGTCCTCAAAGGTCTGTTGGGCCCCTTTCCTTTCCCTTATACCTCCTCCCTGGCCAAACTCATACCTCCACGGTTCAACTACACCCTTTTGCCGACCACACAAAATTTTATCCAACCCCCCCCTACCCCCCGTTTAGCCGAATTCCCCCTAATACAAATAACGGTTCCGTCCCCTTCCTTTTAAAATTGAACCTTCCAAAACCGAGTTTTTTTTTCCCCCCAGCCCGGGGCCCCCCCCCCAGTTTCTCCGTCACATCCCAAACCCCCACAAACCCCCTGCCCCCGGCCATACTGGGTGCATTTGGACCCAACCACCCAGCCCCAAGTCCCCAATTTCAAAACGTGCAGCCCACCCCCGCAACATCGCCCCTTTCCCGTTCCTAACCCAGAAAAACATAAACAGTCATCCACTCCTCATCATTTTCACGATCGCTACTTTAAACCCCCCTTATGGCCCCCCTCCCGCTGGCTTCCCCCCTTAGTCCATCTGACCGGCCAATATCCCTTTTAAAGCCTGTCTCCGCCCCCCCCTTGAAAATTTCCTTTTTGGTTTTTTGGAACAAAATTCAAAATCCCAAGTGACGAAAAGTGTCCACCATTCCCCGAAAAATCATAAAAAGCCCAATTCCAAGTACCGCCCCGCACGCAACTCCGTCTACAAACCTTTTCCTGTTCCTGGTTTCTCCCATCGCCTAGGTTCTAGGGTGCCCCCCCTTGGAAATTCCCCCCCCAACCCATCGTTTTTTAATTCTTTTCCTTTTGGGAAAATGAAAACCAACTTTCAGGGAAGGGCCTCCCCACCCCCCCTAATTCCTCCCCTTTATTTTCCTACCACTCCTCCCCCCCCCAAACTTCTCTCCTGTCCAACCCCCTTCCTGTTGGGAATTGAAAGAAGGGCCATCCCCCATGTTTTTCAGTTTGGAGCTGAATTTCTTTTCCCCTTTTAAAGTACGCCTAGGAATTTCCCTTTATAAATAGTTAATAATAATAAAATAAACGCTGAAAAGAGGCAGGTGGGTGCAGCTTTTCTCGCCTGCCCTCCGCCTTCAGAAACACCAAACGTGGAGGGGGCAGTAAGCGGGCCCGGCTCCGGGAAAACCCCGGAGGGTGACCATCCAGCAGGTTTCTGGGTGGATACAAATGGTGGGTGCTTCAATGCCACCCACCAGTTCCGTCCACCTGTGCCTAGCAGTTGCGCCCCATGCACCCACCTGTGCCACCCAGCAGTGCACCCACCTGTGCCCAGCAGTGCCACCTACCTGTGCTCACTCACATGTGCCCACCAGTGCCGCCAACCAGTGCCACCCACCAGTGCCCATCAGTGCAGCCCAGCAGTGCTGCCAGTCAGTGCCACCAGTCAGTGCCCAGTGGTTGTGCCAGTCAGTGCCCAGCAGTTGCGCCAGTCAATGCCTAGCAGTGTCGCCAGTCAGTGCTACCTATCAGTGCCGCCTATCCGTGACACCTCATTAGTGCTGCCTATCAGTGTTGCCTATCTGTGCCACCTCATTAGTGCTGCCTATCACTGCTGCCTGTCAGTGCCACCTATTAGTGCCCATCAGTGCTGCCTCATCAACGCACATCAGTGAAGGAGAAAAATTACCTGTTTGAAAAATTTTATAATAAAAAATAAAAACTTTTGTTTTTTTTCAAATTTTTTTTGCAATTTTTTTGTTTATAGCGCAAAAGGTAAAGTGCACAGTGGCAATTAAATACCACCAAAAGAAAGCTCTATTTGTGAGAAAAAAAATGATAAACTTTTCATATGGGTACAATCTTGCATGACCGTGCAATTGTCAATCAAAGCGCGACAGCGCTGAAAGCTGAAAATTGGCCTGGTAAAGAAGGGGGTATAAGTGCCCCGTAGGCAAGTGGTTAATGGCATCCCAGTCTTAATCCGTAGGATTCAATATTGAGTTGGCCCCGCCCTTTGCAGCTATAACAGCTTCAACTCTTCTGGGAAGGCTGTCCACAAGGTTTAGGAGAGTGTCTATGGGAATGTTTGACCACTCATCCAGAGGAACATTCGTGAAGTCAGGCACTGATGTCGGACGAGAAGGCCTGGCTTGCAGTCTACCCTCTAATTCATCCTAAAGGTGTTTCTGTGGGGTTGAGGTCAGGACTCTGTGCAGATCAGTCAAGTTCCTCCACCCCAAAATCACTCATCCATGTCTTTATGGACCTTGCTTTGTGCACTGGTGTGCAGCCATGTTGGAACAGGAAGGGGCCATCCTCAAACTGTTGCTACAAAGTTGGGAGCATGAAATTGTCCAAAAATGTCTTGGTATGCTGACGTCTTAAGAGTCCAATTCACTGGAACTAAGGGGTCAAGCCCAACCCCTGAAAAACAACCCCAAACCATAATCCCCCCTCCAACAAACTTTACACTTGGCACAATGAAGTCAGGCAAGTACCGTTCTCCTGGCAATCGCCAAACCCAGACACGTCCATCAGATTGCCAGACAGAGAAGCATTATTCGTCACTCCAGAGAACACGTCTCCACTGCTCTAGAGTCCAGTGGCGGCATGCTTTACACCACTTTATCTGCCACTTTGTGTTGCACTTGGTGATGGAAGGCTTGGATTCAGCTGCTCAGCCATTGAAACCCATTCCATGAAACTCTCTACGCACTGTTCTTGTGCTAATCTGAAGGCCACATGAAATGTGGAGGTCTTTAGCTATTGACTCTGCAAACAATTGGTGACTTCTGCGCACTGTGTGCTTCAGCATGCGCTGACCCCGCTCTGTCATTTTACGTGGCCTACCACTTCTTGGCTGAGATGCTGTTGTTCCCAGTTGCTTCCACTTTGTTATAATCCCACTAACAGTTGAGCGTGGAATATTTAGTAGCCAGGAAATGGACGTATTGCACAGGTGACAACCTATCACGGGACCACGCTTGGAGTCACTGAGCTCCTGAGAGCGACCCATTCTTTCACAAATGTTTGTAGAAGCAATTTGCATGCCAAGGTGCTTGATTTTATACACCTGTGGCCATGGAGGAGATTGGAAAACCTAAATCCAATGATTTGGAGGGCTGGCCCAATACTATTGGCAATATAGTGTATGCAGATTGGGAGCTCTAACATTTTCCCAACTTTCCTGAACACTCTGCATATCAGTGATTCAAAAATGACTGAAGCCAGAACGTTATGGTGACCATACATGATCCAAATCAATTGACTGCATAAATCAAGCTAAAAAAAACGATCCTACAGCAAACACAAATTGATTAATGTTCCATAAACCTGTATCCAAAATTTAAATTGACTGGATCAAGTCATTCGGACAGAAGCACATGTCTCTTTTTGTGTTCCTGAGTGATCGAAAGCAGTGCACTGCAGGAATTACTTAGTGAGCAATAAAATGCTATCAATTGATTGTATGATGGGGGTTTTTTTTCCACCCACAATGGATCAACTTGAGATGTCAAATCGTTTCATCATATACTGTACTGTATGTTGAACTGATTCGTTTTCAGAGTTTGTTTTGTATCTTTGGCAATTATTTTGTATATTCATTGCTCTGGGTGGATTAAAAAAATTTTGCAGTTTTTTCTGTAAGATTTCTACATATTCGATATATTATCAAATTGGATGGATTATAATTGGAAGGATTCAATATTTTCCAATGAACCAAGATAAACGGCATAAGCTGATTGGACGATATTGACTGGCGTCATGTGCATTCGGATTAACAAAAGGAACGAAATTCCATTGAAGAACTTCGTTTCATCATATTCTGTATGTTTAACTGATTCGTTTTCAGAGTTCATTTCATATCTTTGGTAATTATTTTATATATTCATTGGTCCAGTTGGATTAAAAAAATTTTGCATTTTTATGAAGGATTTATATATATTTGATATTTTATCAAATTGGATGGATTCAAACCTGAAGTATTCAATATTTTCCAACCCACAAAGATAAATGGCATGAGCTGATTGGACAATATTGACCGGTGTCATGTGCATCTGGATTAACAAATGGAATGAAAATTCGGATCCATTCCTTATCTGAATTTGATTCATCAAACAAATTTGAAAATTTAACTCATTTCCCCATGGGCCCAAATTACTTTCTTGTTATGTAACGTCATCCAAATAAAATGAATGCATTAGTTCATTTTCCTTATAACTCTTTTATTTTTTTATTTGTTGACAGTCATTACTGTGTCCAGTCAGAGATTCGTATACATCTGAAAATAACATTTTTGTCTGAAAAAACAAATTGAAACAAAACGCGCATGTCTAATGTCAAAATCTGTTGCTTGGCCATGTGATTTTTGTCTCCTCCGATTGATGTCTGTTTTAGAATAAGCCAAGCAAACAGCATTTTTGGAAGGAGGTGAGCAATAGCAATCATGACAAATATAGTGAATGCTTTGTGTGTAATCTGAGCTTCAGCTATTCAACTCTGTAAACAATGGACGTTTGACCAAAGTGTCTGTGTGTGTGTGTGTATGTTATGTATATATATATATATATATATACAGTGGTGCAAAAAAGTATTTAGTCAGCCACCAATTGTGCAAGTTCTCCCACTTAAAAAGATGAGAGAGGCCTGTAATTAGTATCATAGGTAGACTCTCAACTATGAGAGATTAAAATGAGAAAACAAATCCAGACAATCACATTGGTTGATTTGGAAAGAATATATTTGCAAATTATGGTGGAAAATAAGTATTTGGTCACCTACAAACAAGCAAGATTTTCTGGCTCTCACAGACCTGTACCTTCTTCTTTAAGAGGCTCCTCTGTCCTGCACTCATTACCTGTATCAATGGCACCTGTTTGAACTTGTTATCAGTATATAAAAGACACCTGTCCACAACCTCAAACAGTCACACTCCAAACTCCACTATGGTGAAGACCAAAGAGCTGTCAAAGGATACCAGAAAGAAAATTGTAGACCTGCACCAGGCTGGGAAGACAGAATCTGCAATAGGCAAACAGCTTGGTGTGAACAAATCAACTGTGGGAGCAATAATTAGAAAATGGAAGACATACAAGACCACTGATAATCTCCCTTGATCTGGGGCTCCACGCAAGATCTCACCCCGTGGGGTCAAAATGATCACAAGAATGGTGTGCAAAAATCCCAGGACCACATGGGGGGACCTAGTGAATGACCTGCAGAGAGCTGGGACCAACGTAACAAAGGCTACCATCAGTAACACACTACGCCACCAGGGACTCAGATCCTGCAGTGCCAGACATGTGCCCCTGCTTAAGCCAGTACATGTCCGGGCCCGTCTGAAGTTTGCTAGAGAGCATTTGGATGATCCAGAAGAGGATTGGGAGAATGTCATATGGTCAGATGAAACCAAAATAGAACTGGTTGAGTAGAAACACAACTCGTCGTGTTTGGAGGAAAGAGAATGCTGAGTTGCATCCAAAGAACACCATACCTACTGTGAAGCATGGGGGTGGCAACATCATGCTTTAGGGCTGTTTCTCCGCAAAGGGACCAGGACGACTGATCCATGTACAGGACAGAATGAATGGGGCCATGTATCATGAGATTTTTGAGTGCAAACCTCCTTCCATCAGCAAGGGCATTGAAGATGAAACGTGGCTGGGTCTTCCAACATGACAATGATCCCAAACGTACCGCCCGGGCAACGAAGGAGTGGCTTCGTAGAAGCATTTCAAGGTCCTGGAGTGGCCTAGCCAGTCTCCAGATCTCAACCCCATAGAAAACCTTTGGAGGGAGTTGAAAGTCCGTGTTGCCCAGCGACAGCCCCAAAACATCACTGCTCTAGAGGAGATCTGCATGGAGGAATGGGCCAACATACCAGCAACAGTGTGTGCCAACCTTGTGAATACTTACAGGAAACATTTGACTTCTGTCATTGCCAACAAAGGATATATAATAAAGTATTGAGATGAACTTTTGATATTGACCAAATACTTATTTTCCACCATAATTTGCAAATAAATTCTTGCCAAATCAGCCAATGTGATTGTCTGGATTTTTTTTCTCATTTTGTCTCTCATAGTTGAGGTCTACCTATGATGCTAATTACAGGCCTCTCTCATCTTTTTAAGTGGGAGAACTTGCACAATTGGTGGCTGACTAAATACTTTTTTGCCCCACTGTATATATATATATATTATTTATTGTCTTCAACAAGAAAACATATACAAATATGGTATAAATTCCCTTTTCACTGTGAATCAATACCAAACTCCCCGTCACTTGACTGTATCTCAAACTAGAACTTTATACATCCAGATGAGGAATGAGGGGGGTTTCCACAAGGCATCTCAGGTGGGTGACCCCCACTATTCTCATCTTCTCTTCCTGACTGCATTAGGGCATAGAGGACATGTTTCTATACACTGCACTGACGATATCCAAGAAGCCTGAAGCAGTTGCGTGCAGTTTAGAAAAATCCTGGGTTCACATATATGCAGTGCGTATATCGCATGGGATTCGCACAGGAACAAATGTGCAAATCACAAGCGATTTGTGTGCGGTGTGATTGGAGCTATACATTTTCTATGGCTCTAGTTGCCGCCGCACC